CACAGAGTCTATTACATAAATAAAAAGTGCAATGGTGTCCAGACACTGTTGAATGGACACTGAACTTGTATGATACAATATATTGGAAGAACATGCTTTCAAAAAATTCACTATGCTAAGAGTCAATGAAAGCAGTTCTTCGATCTCTCTAATGTCAGGGCGAGCCAAGATTCTCTGGACAGATGAGATGGGTGTGTTATGACAGTAAAATAAGCAGATTGCACTACTTCCTAAGAAGACTAAAGAAGTTTGGTATGAACACCAGCATCCTCACCAACTTTTATAGGTGCACCATGGAGAGCCTGCTGACAGGCTGCATCACAGGTGGTATGGGAACTGGACCAGTCAGAGCTGGAAAGCTCTACAGAGGGTGGTGCAAACAGCAGAGGACATCACTGGTAGCAGTCTCCACACCATCCAGGACATCTACCACAGCTGATGTCTGGGTAAAGCACACAGCATCATTAAGGACCACACTCACCCAGTACAAGGACTCTTTCAACCACTTCTCTCAGGCAGACGATACAGGAGTCTGCCTTCACGTACAAAAAGACTAAAGGCTAAAGCTATTATCCACAAGCTGTAAGATTACTGAACTCTCGATAAATAACACTAAACAACGGGCAATAACATTGCACCAAGCCACATCTGTGACAACTAATATGTTTATTGTTTATTGCTGCTGCACTATGTGGCGGTATCATGTATGATACTATCTTATCATCATAATTAATCTCACTATTACTCACTACCTGTGCAATAACCTGTCACACAACCTGTGTATTATATGTTATGTGCAATATATTTACACACACACACACACACACACATATATTTATATACTGTGTATATATATATATATATATATATATATATATATATATATATATATATCTGGCTGTGGCTGAGTGATTAGAGCAGTTATCCTCCAATGCAAGAGTTGGGGGTTCGACTCCACCAGCAGTCACATGCCGAAGTGTCCCTGGGCAAGACACTGAACCCCTCATTGCCTCTGATGTGTGTCCCATCAGTGTTTGAATGTGATAAAGCTCTGATTAGTCTCTTTAGAATGATTTGTTCAATTATCTTTGTAGAGATCTAGTAGAGTGCTGTATGAATGGGTAAATGAGGCACAGATTGTAGTGTAAAGATCTTTGAGTATCTTGAAATAAGGTAGAAAGGCGCTATATAAGTACAGT